AGAAGGGGCGGCCCCGGAGGGCCGGGATAAGAGCGCAGCGTGCCGGTAGCCTGGATCCAGCGCAGTGGTCCGGCGATGTCGCTCGTGCTGCTGACCCTGGCCGCGCTGTGCAGGAGCGCCGTACCCCGAGAGCCGGTAAGCCCCCTCCAGCACCCCTTACCCCATCTCCCGGCACTCGAGCCTAGATCCTGACGTCGTCTGACCCGCCACTCCAGGCTGTCCCGAAGGCGTGCGCGGACCGCCGGCTCAAGGGGCATGCCTGCACCCTCGGGGGCAGCCCTGGACATCGGCGTCAGGCTGCTTGAGTCAGGGGAGTGGGAATCAGACAGACCCGGTCTCAGATGCTCCCTGTACTGTTGGTTCTGTCATTTCTGCTCACCAAACTCCAAGTCCTGAACGGTAAAACGAAGGGCAGTACCGAACCCACCAGGGTCTCTTAAGGAATAACGACATGGCCTGCAATTAGCGGCGAAGGGCCTGGCACGTAGTCAGCACTCGTTATTGTTACTTGGGGTCTGCTCACCTGTTGGGGCACAAGAACTGTTTCTCCATTAGCACCCCCTCCCTTTTTGGCCATATTGATTGCCATGTTCATTCGTGAAGACAGTTTCCTTTCTTCCCCAGTGCCCTGAATGATCGAGGGAATCTTCTGGGTCACTGAAGATAAAACAGTTCATCCCCCAAATAACCTTTGAAATGATACCCCTGCGCTCTTAGAATAGCATATAGCATCAAGCTCCGTAGTCACCTGCTGGTGGACAAACCCCATTCACCGTTTCCTGATGTCTCCAGCTCCTGTCCTTCCCCTCTGTGCCACTTCAGAAGCCCCCTTGACTTTTTGCACTGCAGGGAAGAATTCATCCCTTTTGCTGTAGTTGCTACAAGGCCAACAATTTGAGCTTGGTAGCATTTAGGGTTGTTGCTTGGCTGGTCTCACCGGCCCTTTGATAAGAACTCAGCTCCTGGTATGATGGCTTATTTGTTTAAAATAATAATAATAATAATAAAGTCTGGCCGGGTGCAGTGGCTCACGCCTGTAATCCCAGCACTTTGGGGGGCTGAGGCAGCTGGATTGCCTGAGGTCAGGAGTTCAGGACCAGCCTGGCTAACATGGTGAAACCCTGTCTCTACTAAAAATACAAAAAATAGCTGGGCATAGTGGCAGGCGTCTGTAATCCCAGCTACTCAGGAGGCCGAGGCAGGAGAATCACTTGAACCTGGGAGCTGGAGGTTGCAGTGAGCCGAGATCTGCGCCACTGCACTCCAGCCTGGGCGACAAAGTGAAACTCTGTCTCAAAAAAAGAAAAAAAAAAATCTGATGATATCCCTTAGAGTTCATTTTTTTAAAGATGAATAAATGATTGATAATTTTGCTCAAACTCAAGTCACTCAAACCATCAAAAGTCTTAGGAGGTCTTAGAAGGTGTTTGGAAATGTAGATGCTCCGCAGGGTGTTCCAGAGCTGCTGGACATATCACAATGAGTCTTGTCATTTGAGCTTGCTGCTGGCTAAAGCCTCAGTATTTTAGGTTGAGTAATTTATTCCAGAACCAAAGCACAAATTATTTTTTCTTATGAAAAAACATGAGCAGCTAACTTCAAACGATTTAGTACCAGCCTTTCTTGAACACAAATAATTGCTTATGGTTTCTTTAATGGCTCAGTGAGTCCTTTTGTGTTAGAAGGGGAATATTTTAAAGAACCTGAGGAAAGTACCCTGGACTGCATTCAGAGCTTGCTTTTGTTCTTCTCCTTAGCATAGCTACTCCTTAACCTGGGGTAGCCCAGTAAATACTCCAGTCCATCCTAAAATCCTAGAGTTAAACATTAGAGTGTGAAGGGGCCTCACATCGGTCCCAAGTCATCCCCTGCTTGCAGCAGGGAAGGCTGACATCCAGAGATGGATGGAGACCCACCTCTGGTCTTCAAGTGAGGTTATGCACTGGCTTGGGGATCAGGTATACTGATGGCTAATCCATGGCCCATCATAGCCTACAGTGGCGCAGCTTAGTTTCCCGCTAAGCTGTGAAGCAGAACCAGTTCATCTTTTATTGAAAGTTTGTCACTTGTATATGCATGTAAGGGGAAAATGGTGTTCTACCTAATTTGGCAAAGGAGAGCTTGTGGTTTGCCGGCTTCAACATGACGCTTGGTTTTCTTCTCTCCCACAGACCGTTCAGTGTGGCTCTGAAACTGGTAGGTACATTAGAGAATGGGTATTTGGGGCTTTACATTGTAAGCACAGCTGGACTTTTAGGAGGCCTAATATAGGCAATAGGTCATTGAAGACCAGGCACGGGGTGAACCATTGCTTTATTGGCTGTTGCAGACGAAGTCTCTGTCTGCTCAAAGCAGAACTCTGGGGCTCTGTGGGAATGAAGGCGTGTTTCAGACAGGCTCGCCTCCTGGCCAGTCAGGGTAGGACTTGCCATATAAGGTGGAAAGTGATGCCTGCCACTCTACAGAGGAAGATCGAGGGCGTGAAAGGCAGGTCACTTAGAGTTGGGACCAAGAAGCAAATGTTTCATAGAAGAGCGGGGGTTTGAGATGGTGACATTTGAAGAATGGGTAGGCTTCTGCCCAAAAAATGTGAGTGGGGAGAGTGAGCTGGAGGAGAGATGGCACCAGCAAAGGTTAGGAGGTGGGAAAGTGGGGGTTGTGTGGGCCAACT